GCGCCGCTGGACCTGGACAAGTACGTGGAGATCGCGCGGCTCTGCAAGTACCTGCCCGAGAACGACCTCAAGGTGAGGCCCCCTCGCCCTGTCACAGCCTTTGCGCCTGGGGGGCCGCCGGGGCGGGGCCCAGCCAGCTGCATCGGGCCCGGGGGTCAGATCCGGCACCTGGGGCAAGACCCCCACCGTGTGTGTGTGTGTGTGTGTGTGTGTGTGTGGTGGGGAGGGGGAGGGGAAGGGGACACGGTAGTGGCCACCATTCCCGCGCCCCCCAATGTGCTGGCCCGTGGGGCGTGGGCAGGATGGACACCGTGGCTGCACGGGCAGCGTTTGTGCCTCGGGGTGAGAGGTTGAGCACGACCCGACCAGACAACGCCCCGGCTGGGACGGGGGAGCTGGGCTGGTCCTGCTCGGAGCAGGGCCGGACGAGATGGGTCGCAAGAACGTATTAAAGGGCTGCAAACGGACTTTAAAAATGGATTCTCCTTTAAAGGAGAAAAGCGTGGGAAACCGTGGCTTGCCGTTTGCAGGCTGGCAGAGGTCTGGGCTGCTTGGGGGCTCCCCGTAGCTTTGTCATATATTTATCTCCAATTATGTTAAAAATTTAATTGGGGTTTTTTTTTTTGTGGAGATTTAGAGCTGAATCTACAGCTTACAGGCATAGCACAAATGCTTCAGTGAATTAATTTGTTACTACAATGCGGGTGCACTGACGTACCGATCCATACAAACTCTTTTTTCCCCCCCGTAGCGCTTATGCGATTACGTGTGTGACCTACTGTTGGAAGAATCCAATGTGCAGCCAGTATCGACGCCAGTTACGGTCTGTGGAGATATACACGGGCAGGTAACGTTTCAGTGCCGTGTTTCGTGCGTGTTTCCTGCCGGACCCGCGGAGAGCAGGAAGCCATCGTTCTTCCAAGACTGATGGCAAACTGCAGCTGAGGTGTATGGTGGGGAGCCAGATTTAGCTAGTGGACATTCAGTGACTTCGAGCATTTGGTGTGCTCTGCTGTTGGAGCGAAATGCAAAAATATCTCGTATTTTTCTCAGCGTTTCTCTGTGCGTAGTAAGGGAGCCCCTCCCAGAAGCGTTCCCGAGCAATCCTCGCACCCAGTGACCCACTGGAGAGCGGTGGTGTTTAGCCTGAAGCTGTTGGAGCTGTTCAGTACTAACGGGGCCTCGTCGCAAAAGGGTGGAGCTCCGTTTGGGTTCGGATGTTATGCTTGCAGGATTGATTCAGGATTTGCAGTTGTACAGCAGTTTGTGCCCAGTAAAATCAGCTGGTTTTTTGGGGGTTTTTAACACTGACAAAGTGCACAGAGGGCAGTCTCCCCGTTCCGGTCATGACTGTTTATCAGCCTTCGTAGAACTTTGTTTCAGGCAACTCCTATCTTGTGCTTTCCTATTTCCAAGTGATGACTGTTGTTGAAAGCGTGCTAGCCTACTGCTAACGCAGATTTTTAACGTGTGCAAATTCTTCTTTACAGTTTTATGACTTATGTGAATTATTCAGAACTGGAGGTCAGGTTCCTGACACAAACTATATATTTATGGTATGTAAAAATTGTTGATCACGCAAAAGGTAATCATTTTTTAAAAATATACTGATCTAAAAGGGATTTCAGCTCTCTTTTGGTTTTCATTTTCATTTACAATTCTTGTTTGTAAACATCTTAGGCATGTGAAAAAGCTTTCCACTCTGTTCACCCTCTTTTCTGGTAACATGTAGCATTTACTTTGTCCAGCAAAATTTGAAATATTCAGTGCTGGCTCTCCCAAAAGGAAATAAATTACAGCATTTGCTAAATAAAACCTGTAGTTCATGATACCAACAAAAAGGACATCATGAATGTGTCTTAGAACACGTGCAACCTTATATGACCTGAAATATAGGAGCATAGGGGGAATATTTGTTTTCAGCTGTGAAATTTTGAATAATCTAAATCTTAGCTGTGAATTAAAGTAGTCTTCAGAGTTGATAAAACAGAGATGAAGGCTGACATTCAGAGTCAGACTTTTTGGCAAACTGAGGCATTAGAAATAGATGCGTTACTGTGTGACAAGTTGACTTGCTTTCTACTTATAAATTCATACTTTCAATTTACAGGGTGACTTCGTAGACAGAGGTTACTATAGTCTCGAGACTTTCACCTACCTTCTTGCACTAAAAGCTAAATGGCCCGATCGTATCACGCTTTTACGGGGCAATCATGAAAGCAGGCAGATAACACAAGTGTACGGATTTTATGGTAAGACTGGTTAACAAGGCAGATCTTCCTTAGGGACATCTGATTTTTTTTTTTCTGCTAGTGTATATAGCTTTCCTGTTGGCAGAGTGGGTTGTGGAAATGGGGTCCAGTCCCTGATCTTCCATAAAATCTTAAGCAGGTCTTCAGCTTTATTCCAATTTCACGGATACGTT